CCCCCGGAGCCGCGCCGCGCCGCGCTCACCACTCGCCCTTGTCGCCGCCCTCCATGCGCAGCACCTGGCGGAACCCCGCCAGCGCCTCCTCCCACTCCTCGCTCTCCAGCAGGCCCTTGGAGTTGTAGTACTGGTTCTCCACATCCACATCCTGCTCCTCCAGCTCCTCGTCTGCGCGCAGCCAGGAGGAGAGGGGCTGGAGGGGCTGACGGGGCGGCAACGTGTGGAGGCGAGCTGGGGGCAAGGCGGCGGCGAGCAGCGGCCTGGCCAGCACCAGCTTGCTGCCTGGTTGCCAGTGCACGCCCATTCTCACCCGAGTACTCGAATCCATAGTCCTCCATGTCCGAGTCCCCCTGTGACACGGGCAGTCGCAGGCAGGCGGCGAGTCGCGGCGGCGCGGAGCGGGAGTGGCGCCAGGCGCCGTGCGGCGCCCGGCCCGGCTCGCGGCGGCATGCCGATCGGCAACCATGAGCAGGCCATGTTGCACATGCAGAAGGGCAGCCTGAAAGCCGGCCACATTGCGTCTCGGTGATCGGGGCACAGCCGAAAGAGCAGTGCGCTGCTCAGTGTCGCGGAGGGATCGACACACGAGCTCACCATGCTTGCTCAAGCTCACGGGTCCCCGCAGGACCCCTGCTCCACTGGTTTTGGGGCTGACCTCCTGCCGATGCTTGATCACCAGCCTATGGAGGCCTGCACCCGATGGGCAGCTTGCTGCTGCATCTGAGACACGGGATGCGCAGCGTGGAGCCCTTTTCTGCTGTACTTTCATGTGTACGGCGTTTGCCCTGGTTGACTGTCCCAGGAGCTTCACGGCCCCAAACCCTTTGATTTCGATGCCTTGATCGGTTTAATGAGTTACTGGCATTGGCACAGCAGCAAACAAATCCAGCCGCACAGGATGGTGCACCCCTATTGCGCAGCAAGTCCGAAGCTGGACACCTCGAGCACCAGATGCATGATTTTGCATGCTGGAGCGCCACCAGCTAGGAGACGGCCGGCACCAACGGCGGGACAGCTAGCGGCGGCACCTCGGCAGCGGCAGCAGCGGAACAGCCTCATGTGCCCTATGCGGCGCCGCGGCCGCGCCCGGTCGTCGGCGGAGCCCGCCAGCGCTCGCAGCGACGATACCAGCGAGGCGGGAGGCAGCGCTGGTGAGGGAGCAGGCAGCGGCGCGAGCGCAGCAGCAGCAGCGGCGGGCGACGACGCGGCGCCTGCAGCGCACAAGCAAGCAGGCGCCCACCCCGCACCCCACCCCGGCATCGAGGCGGAGATCCTGGCCATCACGCTGCCCACGCTGGCCACCCTGGCCGCTGACCCCCTCGCCTCTCTCGTCTCCACAGGCTTTGTGGGGCGCCTGGGCGCGGTGCCGCTGGCGGCGGCGGGGGTCGCGCTCTCTGTGTAAGTGTTGTGTGTCAGCTGTGTGCACAGCTGGTTTGTTGCCGGCACCGGCATCACCCTGCAGCCGCTCCACCGCTACGCCGCAGATACAACTCCGCCACCAAGCTGCTCAACATGCCGCTGCTGGCGGTGACCACGTCCTCGGTGGCGCAGGCGATGGGGGCGGAGGCGGGTGGGTGGGTGGGTGGTTGGGTGGGTGTGTTTCACTGGCTGGCTGGTGGTGTGGGGGCAGGCACTGCGGTGGCTCCCTGCTCTTTGCCTCTTGGCAAGCCTGCCTCTTGCCTGGCTGCAGGCGGGGAGCAGGCGGGCGGCGGGCGGGGAGCCCTGGCCGGCGCCGTGTCCGCCGCGCTGGCGCTGGCGCTGGCCACGGGGCTGGCCCAGGCCGCGCTGCTGGCGGCGTTTGGCGGGCGGGGGCTGGCCCTGTGGGGCGCGCCGGCGGGCAGGCCCCTCCACCCAGACGCCGCCGCCTACCTGGGCATCCGAGCGCTGGCGGCGCCCGCCACCGTGCTCATGCTTGTTCTGCAGGGCTGCTTCAGGTGCGTGTGTGGAGGCGTGGAGAGAGAGGGTGAGCGTGAGTGCCTCGTGGTCTCCCGGCGCCGATCGCCGCCGCTGCCGCTCACCGTCGCCCCCCGCCTGCTGCATCCCGGCAGGGGCCTGGGCGACACGCGCGTGCCGCTTGTGGCCACCCTGCTGGCCAACGGGCTCAACGTCCTGCTGGAGCCGCTGCTCATCTTTGGCGCGGGGTGGGGCGTGCGCGGCGCGGCGGCGGCGGTGGGGCTGTCGCAGGTGGGAGCGAGCGCGCCCCGGCGGGGTGGCGGGCACCTCCACGGCGGGCTGGGCTGCAGGAGCCGGCAGCAAGGGTCGGGCTCGCAGGAAGAAGGCTCCGTGCTGTGGCTGGGGCTCGGAGCGGGCAGCAATGCTGTGCGATGCGTGCTGTGCGCTGTGCGCCGACCTGCCTGCCTGTCCTCCCTGCCCCGCGCCCCCGCCCCCCACCCGCAGGCGGCGGCCGTGGCGGTGCTGCTGGCCATGCTGCGCCGCCGCGTGCCGCTGCGCCTGGCGGGCGGCGCCTCGCTGGCGCACAGCCTTCGCTCCCTGGGCTCCACGGGGCTGCTGGCGCTGCGCACGCTAGGTGAGCACGCCGGGAGGTAGGGCCGGTGCTTGGGAAGGGGCTGAGACTGTGCTTGGGAGGGGCCTGATTCTCTGCCCTGCCTGTGCTCCCTGCCTGTGCTAGGCGTCATGGGCGTCTACTCGCTGGCCACCAGCCTGGCGGCGCGCACCCAGCCCGCCCACGCAGCCGCCCACCAGATTGCCTTCCAGGCGCGGCGGGCGTGGGGGAGGGAGGGGCGCGGGGAGGGAGGCAGGCTCCCGCCAAGGCTCACCAAGCCTGCGGCGCCTGCTCGGCGGTGCCCTCAGCTGGCCCACCCTGCCCATCCTGCCGCCCCCCCAACCTCCCACATTCACACACACCCTCTCTCCTGCAGGTCTGGCTGGCCTCCTCGCTGCTGGCCGACAGCCTTGCGGTGGCGGCGCAGACGCTGCTGGCGCGCTGCGTGGCGGCGGGGCAGCGGCAGGCGGGGCGCACGGTGGCGCGCCGCACGTTGCAGGCGGCGGCGGCGCTGGGCGGCCTGCTGGCGGCGCTGCTGGCGGCGGGGCAGGCGCCCATCGCCCGCCTGTTCACCTCAGACCCCGCGGTGCTGGCTGCCCTGGCCTGCATCTTTCCTGCGGTGGTGAGACGCTGGAGCAGTGTGGCAGGGGGTGGTGGGGGCAGGCAGGCAGGCACGCGCAGCCTTGCGGGCTTGAGCAGTGCGGGAGGCAGCTTGTCGTGCGGGGGATGGCCAGCCCGCTCACCTCTCCACCTCCTGCCCCCGCCTGCTGCTGTCCAGGTTGCCAGCCAGCCCCTCAACTCCCTGGCATTCTGCATGGACGGAATCCTGTACGGCATGCCCGGAGGCTTCGCCTACGCGGCGGCAGCCATGATGGCCGCCTGCCTGCCCGCCGGCGCCGTCATGCTGGCCGGCAGCCGCCTGGCGGCGCGCCTGCCCCTCCCGGCGGCGTTTGATGCGCAGCTGGCGGCGGTGTGGGCGGGCCTGGCCACGCTCATGGCGCTGCGCTTCCTCACCCTCTTCATCCCGCTGCTGCGCCGCAGCCCGCCCTTTGACAAGCTGGGCGGCTGATGGGCTGCTGGGGGGTCTCCCGCAGGGTCAACCTGCCCATCTCGTGCCATGCTACCCAGAACACTGCACCCCTTGCCCCCGTTTCGTCCTTACACCCTGACTGCCTTTTGTTCTGGCCCTGTTCTGCTTCTTGTTCCGACCCCTTCCCACAGACTCGTGATGCACATTGCACTCGTTGCCCCTTCCATAGTGTTGCTGGAGCCTTGTCAGCCCGTCATGGCGTCATTTACACACATGGTGCTGTGCGGCACACACACTGAACGGACAGGGGTGTAGTACGTTGCGGGAGCTTCCAGCCAGGCAGCATACAGACAGGCAGAAAGGGGCGGGAAGGACGACAGCGGGACCAAAATGAGGGGTGTCACCTCCCCTGCTGCGGGGAGGCCTCGAGCCAGGTTCATTCTGAAGGTGCGACACCAGTGCTATGGCTGACGTGTCAACAGGCCGGCGGCCGCGGAGGGCCAGGCACCGCCGCCAGCTGGCAATTGCTACCACCTGCTCCATTCCCCGCAGCGGCCCCCCCCAGCTGCCCTCAGGGCGCCCGTTGGGAGGGGGACAGCTGGGGGGCCGCCCATCCGCCGCCGGTTTCAATCACGCTTGAGAGCAGGGAGGGGGGGCGCCTCGGGTCGGGGCCCCCGCGCTCGCCGCTCACTTGTTGGCACTCATGGCGTTGAGTGCGGAGCCGTGCTTGAACCACTACAGACGGTGGCGGGGTTGGGGAGGGGTACGAGGCGGTCAGTTGTTTGGCCGCTGGACAGCGAGAGCGAGGACCAACCCTTTGCAAGCACTCCCTGTGCCTCAGCGCACATGCCACGCAGTCGGCGGAAGCAGAGCGGGCACAGGCGGGCGCGGGCATGCATGCGGCCGGGCGAGGGCGGGCTCACGTTGATCTGGTTGGCGTTGAAGGTGTGGTTGACGGGGAACTCGTAGGTGGAGCCGTCGGGCCGCTTGCCCACCAGGGTCAGCCCCTTGCCGGGCGCAAAGCTGGTCAGGCCCTTGATGCTGAGGCGGTCAAAGGGACCCACCTGTGGCAGCAGGGGCAGGGCAGCGGGGAGGGAGGCAGGGGGCGGGTGAGCCGGGGCAAAGGCAGGAGCACGCAGCAGCAGGCGAGCGGGCAGGAGGGTTTCACACCCCCAGCAGCGCAGCGCAGCCATACAGCCCTGGCACACAGCGGTACAGCGCTGGCACACGGCAGCACAGCCCCTCCTCTCCACCCACCTTGTCGTAGTCTGCTGGGTCTGCAAAGGTGAGGGGCAGCAGCCCCTGCTTCTTCAGGTTGGTCTCGTGGATGCGGGCAAAGGACTTGACGATGACGGCGCGCGCGCCCAGGTGGCGGGGCTCCAGCGCAGCGTGCTCGCGCGACGACCCCTCGCCTGCGCGCAGGGAGGCCAGGTGGGGAGGCGAGGGGCAGGTGAGCAGGGCAGCAGGCGGGGCCAGGCGGCAGGCCGGCGGTGGCGGGAGTCGGCCCCAGGCGAGCACACAGCGCCTCACAGCCACCAGCCACCGCCTCACAGCACCACAGCCACCCATCTCCCCACCACCCTCCCACCCACCGTAGTTCTCATCTCCAATCACCACCCACTCCTGCCCGGCGGCCTTGTACGCGCGCGCCACATCGGGCACGCCGCCATACTCGCCGGTCAGCTGGTTCTTCACGCTGTTCACCTGCAGGGGGCGCAGCGGGGGAGGGAGGGGGTGGCGGCGGGGCAGCAGGGCGAGCGTTGGCGTGGGCAGCAGCTTCACACACCACCACGCCACACCACGCCTGCTGAACCCCTCCCCTGCTCCTGCAACTCCTCCCACCCCCGCCCCGCAGAAAGGTGTGT